GGGATGCTTTGGTGTAGGCCATAATAGGAATTGCCTTGGTGCCCTTCAGTCCAAGACATTTTGAAATTTTGGCTGTGAAATTGTGTGCCTTCAGTATAAAGTACAAGCCCTGAAAGCATGCCCTCCAATAATGACAATTTATTTACCTTATACCACTGAGGTTTTTGCATGATTTTCGTTTCTCGTTGTGCTGTCAGGACAAGACATGATCTCAGTGCTGCCACTGCACCTTCACGTATTGCTTGCTGTTAAAAGATCATGAAATGTACACATCAGTAGATAATTAAATAAATCAACTTCCTACAAAATACTTGGACTTGGCTGTCCTCAGATATAAATAAACAAGAGCTGAGTCACACCTGGTTTGGATCAAAGTCATTGCAAAATATGACAGTCATCTACTTTTACAGCCATTTGCCATTTTTATGAAATAGACTTGTCCAATAAATGATGACAGCAATATCAAAAATCATCACCAATACTGTATTTCCTAGATGACAAATAAATATGCCAGTTTTATTTTGTATTTGTATATTTTTTTTTTGTATTTTGAAGTAAAATTGACAACAACAAAAAGATATGGTTATGCCTACTAATGAAGACACCTTTTATGTGCTTCTAATAGAACAAATACAGCATTAGAAATTATGCTAAAACTGAGCAGAACAACCAAATCCAGATAAATCACATGCAGGTAGAATTTAGGAAGTGGAATTTAGGAAATTCTACCAACTACATTACATTTTTTTTGTAACTACATTTTTTATTCAGTTAATCAAAACCAAAACACATTTTATATAAAACACAAAAATAACAAAGTACAAACAAACCAGAGTAAGAGTACATAAATTGGTTTACGATTATAAAATAAAATTACTACATATTGCATGAATCATGTTTTTCAATCAAATTTCTATCACATGCAATATGTTTTTCTATCTTAAAACATTCTTTACTACATTTATTAAATTCACAAAAGTTGGAATCATTCTAACTTGCCCAGTGCAGTATATACATTTCTTAGTAAGTAGATAAAAGAGTGGAATTTTGATGAAACCAGCATCACCGAAAAGCATCTAGTATGCAGTTAAGATTAAGAAATTTGACCCAATTATTCAATACTTTCGTCCAATTGTCAGCTGTAAATTGACAATATATAAACATGTGTATTAACCTTTTCATCACCAGACTTTCTTGTCTAAATTATTCTGCACTTTTTTCATATATTCTTCAATATTTCTGGAAATGAACCCTAATTTTCTAGCCAACAGAAAAAATTTGTGACAATTGTCAGTTTTTACCCAAAAATTTGTCTATGTTTGATCCAATCTTCTGAAGAAAAGTGCAAATTATAAATGGTCCTATTTTGTGAATTTGTGATGAAAAGATGGAACTGGTAGTGAAAGGGTTAAGGATTCAAGTTAAGTTGTTATCATGCCAAGAAGGATGATGGTGTTGAGTTTTAAAACTCCCTATATTTTGTAAAATATTCATAAAATACCTTTGGGTCTCTGACTGCACTGAAGATATTATCAAAGAATGGCTGCACTGCTTGAAAAAAGAAGTCGGTGCATTTTCTGCTAGCTCTCGTAGGACCAATACCTGAAAAAGAGTGAAAAATGAAATTGATTGATGACAACAACAGAGTGAATAACACTTGTTAAAACAGATGAAATATAACAAGGTATTATTTTGCAGTTAATTTTGGACCTTCCCATTGCAATGTATACACTCACAGCAGCATGTCTTTTCCATTCATTTCTATCGCCTTGTAGCCATTCCAGAGCTCGTCTCACTTCGAACTCTACATAGTCTGAAGTGAATGTACCTCCCGCCAATGCCAATCGACCCATCGCTTTTGACGCCAACTCTATAACAGGGACATCATTTGAAGGTAGCAGGTTACGAAGATAATTGGCAAAACGGCTAGTACGAGTAGTATTACCTCCATCTACACCAATCAGACTCACTGTAGAAAAAAGTACACATTCATATATTTTTTTCAATAACACAAAACTGACTAGAAATATTACAAAGAACATAAAACAACTGTTCCCATTTTAAACTGCCAATACTTTTCATTTTTCTTATATGAACAAAATAATGATACTACTATACAAAATTTTATTGTAAATTCATGGAAAGACAACAATGAATATTATCATTATTAGAGGCAGAACATTGTAGTACCTATAGCCAGAATGCCGCCCTTCTTATCATTCACCTCAGGACTAGACACCAGCTCAAATATGTAATGATTTAATTTGTCCATAAATGTTGTGTACTCGTCCACGGAGACTTCTCGTAGCTCTGTCGTCACATAGTGCTGCAGGTCTCTAGCTGTCTTGCTACGAGTCTCCTCATTTCGACTCTTGAGGCCATTAACAAACTGACTCATCATGACGACACGTTGACATAAATGTTAATATCGTTGGGATAAACTGGTCTTCACCATAAGCATTACTACAGGCTATAATCAATTTGACAAAAAATGGTAAGGCATGGAATATTATTATAACACCGGTAGTAATACTAATCTATGCACAAAGGTATACAACATTAGTATTCATATCTTGGTATCTTCTTGTGTCAATAATTAGTTGTTGTGAATGTAGTTTATTAATTTCTGGTACATTTAGCTTCTTTAATCCATATCCAGCTTGTCACCTCACCTCGCCTGACTGCCAGTTGCCTCATTCAGCTTATCTTAAACAATTTTTAAAGGTTGTTCTCAGTTATTTTTTTCTTTATGGATAGGCGACTTTGGATACTAATTTATAATTACTTGCCTAGTGATGTTTAATAAGAATCACTGCAATTTTATATTTATACGTGTGTGTCAGGCTACAGAAAATTAACATTGTCTTGACTTCAACAAATTTCTATGCAGGGAATCAAAAATCTGTCAAACACTCGGAAAGTGGCTTTGCCATCTGTATCATACTTACAACAGTTACTAAATCAATGTCCATTCATACACAGGTTATAGCTAGATACAACCCCAGATTGAATTTAGAGCTCACTGATCATCGGACCGTGTGATAACCACATGCAACAACCAAAATATGACCACTATACCGCCGGTGATTGCAAGCTGTGTCTGGGAGTGGTAACGATGATTGGTGTAAATAGATTATGATAACACAGTAATAACAGAAGTAAATAGACATCATATCTTTTCTCAAACTACACTATCATGAATGGTTAAAGTACAGCTGAAAACCTCTCAAAATATGGTAAACAAACCAGTGACTATTTGCCGTAATCGCAAAATGCTCATACTTGTAGCAATCGCCATATTAGAAATTGTACTATTAGTAACAAATCTGATTAGTCAATAAATTTGTTGTCACATCCAATAAGATACCTGAAACACACACATTTATGAACAGACTTCAATCAATCAATCATAAACATTTATAAAGTGCCTTAATCCAAAACCAAGTTCCGTTCAAAGGTGCTGGGTGAGTTAGCATAAATGTGTATAGCTTATTTTGGGGAGTTTTGTTTTTGTTTTTATTATCATCATGCATCTTGAGTTCAGATAAGTTTACCATTTGTATTTAGTTTCAATCCTAGGTAAGTGTACGAAGATACATTTTCTAGTTGTTTTCCATTAATTAAAAATTAATGTTTTGTTATGGTTATGCTAGATTTATTGAAAATCAACTTTAGATTTTGAGATATTTACTTCAAGTTTCCATTTATTATAATATATTTGCACTGAGTTTATAGCATTTTGAAGTCCATTTTTTTTAATTTGAGAGTAATACAAGATGGGACTAGTTAAAAATTGGTGGGTCATTTTGTAATAAACGTAAATAACGTCCAATCCAAAAGAGGCATGATGAATTTTCCTAGTTGAGTGATTGCTCACATATTAACGCTAAACAGCCTCAGTGTGTCGCAACATTGTTACAATAATGCTACCCTGACAATTATCCAGTAACATCCATACCATAACTATTTTTATAAAAAAAAAAAGGATCTGTTCCTCACCTGATAAAGGCCACCATATTGGGTCAACTACAGGTGAACTTTGACCTACAGAAAACAACAAACGTGAAATAACAAACATTCATAGTTTTCTAATTATTAAGTATTTGGTTATTTTTTTTTAATTAACATATTTACCTACCTATCATTGTAAATAAATAATTACTTTTCGTTTTCTTGCCCTAGTTTTTTTAAATCTCGTGTCTCATGCGAGATCATGCGTGAAGAGTGGGGTCAAACGTGATTTCCGGTTTTGAAGTCACACGCTGTTGAGCTACTTGGCACGTAATGCAAAATAATGCAATATGTTCATTTCAATGAATACGTGAATGTGTATCTGTGATATCAAAGAGAGAATCGCATCTGTTCGTTCCCATTGTTCTGATGGCCAGCATGACGGATTTGAATGACAAAATGGACAGACATACCAATAATGTCAGAAAAGTGAAACCAATTCTCCGCCAGGCATCGACACAACAGCGAATAAGTGCATATTGGCTGGCTCTGCGTCCGTGGTCATTCAGTGCATCGCTTACACCTGTCGCTCTTGGAACTGCATTAGCTTACAAATCAACCGATGGCTTCAATATATGGACTTGTCTTTGTGTGTGCTTGGGAGTTCTTAGCGTCCACGGTGCTGGAAACTTGACAAATACATATTTTGACTTCATGAAGGGAATTGACAGCAAGAAAAGCGACGATCGGACGTTGGTAGACCATATTTTGGAACCGTCAACGGTGGCTACATTCGGTGCTGTACTGTACGCGATTGGTTGTTTTTTCTTGTTGCTTGTTATAGTATTATCACCCGCTAAAATGGAACATTTAGCTTTAATTTACTTTGGGGGTCTTTCAAGTTCATTTCTGTATACAGGAGGTATTGGGCTTAAATATCTTGCCCTTGGTGACCTTGTTGTTATTATAACGTTTGGTCCTCTGGCTGTAATGTTCGCCAGTATGGCTCAGACTGGATCCTGGAGCCTGTCACCGTTACTTTATGCTCTACCACTGGCACTGAACACAGAAGCAATTTTGCATGGCAACAATACTCGAGACATGGAGGCTGACCGTAAAGCTGGAGTTATTACAGTAGCTATTTTACTTGGACGAATGGGATCATATAGTTTTTACGTCATGCTATTATTCTTACCATATATAATATTTTGTGTACTAGGTATGAACTTTTCAGTTGGTTTTCTCCTGCCACTTGTCACTTTACCGTTATCGTTTGATTTAGAGAAACAATTTCGTCAAGGTAGTCTTAAAAATATCCCCCAAAAAACTGCTAAGTTAAATTTGCTTTTAGGTGTATTTTATGTCCTAGGCTGTATATTGACCAGTCCACAGGCTTTTCCGGGATTGTAGTCAAATGTTTTTGCAATAGTAATTATAATTGTTTGATATTTGTAGACATCACACCAACCTTCGTTGTCGTCATTCTGCTTGATATTTTTTTTTATCATATTAACCTGTTTAGCAGCCATAATCACAAGTGATATCAAATACTTTCCTGTTTTGGAGGCAGCTCAAGATTGGTACAGTATCTGGTAATTAACATAACGAATTTGGCTTTACAGCCTTTAATGAGTCAACTGATTCCGTTCAATAATTGTATATTCATCATGTCATTTTTGCACCTGACAATGGTACCCTAGCAGGAAAGTGACCATATCGTTGCTTTTGCAGACACAAGTTCATTCACCAACTCTGCAAGTGTTTTCAGTTAAATTAACATTATCTGTGTAAAAATAATAGGAATTAAATTGCTGAGAATCCAAGTCATAGTTTCTTTTATCCATTGTTTAAATAATTTTTCTGTTATAATAATTTTCTACCCAGGTTTAAATGAAAGGATGTTTCCTGATAGTGTCATGCTCTATGGGGACTGTCCTCAAAATAAAAATGACAGACTGACGCACTGACTTTTTTTTGTAAGTTTTTGGAGCATATACAAGACACAGGTTTGGTATTTATGAATGTTATTATTGACAGGCAATGTGTTTGCATATGTTTGCAAATTAATTTGCTCACGTGTGAAACACAACACTTAAGTTACCTTGTCTCTGGAGATCAAAAACATATTTTTCATTACTAGGTCATACTTATAATATTTGGTCAAAAGAAAAAAATATCTTCCTTTCATCAAAATATAAATGTAAATGGGGACAAACATCTATTAAATTTGCCATTCCTGTGGTTTGGAACAGCATATACATATAAACAA